GCCATGGCACTCTACCCAGGGGGATAGCTTGAGGCTCCGTCTCAAAAAAAAAAAAAAAAAGAAAGGAATTTATAACTGCAGTATATACTACATAAGCCTCTTTGTATTATTCTACAAAAAAAGTGAATCAAACATAATTCAGTAATTGCTTTTTGCCACTGAGAAAAAGCAGAAATGCTCGTGTGTGAAGCAGCAAGTTTGTAAGTCAATGCTGAAATCCAGCTGTGGTAGTTCTTCCAACCACTGTGTTCTACTGTGTGCAGCTGTCTTTGGGGATGAGCAGCCACATGAATTGAGTTTTGGTGTGAGGAAATTGAGGTGCAGAGAGTGCAGAGGGCTAGAGTATTGTCACAAAGTGAGTGGGTGCAGAATCCAAAGGAAAATTTAGATGCTCAAATGCCAAATAATCTTCCTTCTGTGTGTGGAGCAATCTCAAGTTTTATGTGGAGGATTATGACATATATATATATATATATATGTATATATATACACACACACACATATATATATATACTGGGTAACTAACTCTCATTTAGGTCCAAATTGATACCATTTCCACTTCCTCATGCTCCTTCTCAGTCAATGCCCACACACAGAGGTAAACACCCTCTGACTTAACCCACAAATTAGTTTTGCTTATTCCTGAACATCATGTACACGGAAATTGAGTCTGCTGTATGAACTATTTCAATCACTATGATGTCTGTGAGATTCATCCTTGGTCTTGGGTGTACATATGCATATCTATTTCTACATATCTATGGACGCACCATAATGTATTAATCCATTCTCCTGGTAGGGATCTTCAAACTGCAGTACACAAATACAGAGGGTGCAAAAAACTGTATACATATATTAGCAAAGGAAAAAAACTCTATTAAATTTGTAACACTCAAGACACGTTTAACATCTACAATTACAAGAGGTGCTATATGTGACTTGTATTCATCTTCTGTATCAGTGAATATTGAGCATTACAATTTCAATACAGTTTCCTCCTTTCTTCAAATGTACATACACTTTATGGCGCCCTCTGTACACCATGAAATAACATCCAGGTTTTAAAACCCTCCAATTGCTTCCCGTTGAGAGGATGCCAATATACCCCCGAGGGGAGAGACAGTGCTTTCCTCTTCCATTGTCATATTCCTGAAACAATAAGTACTTAATAGGAAATTTGAATTTTGTATTTCATTAATGAATTCCTCAAGTAATTTATTTGTAAAAATCCAATGATCTTTATTACCCATTGTCTAAGAATTACATTTTTCTCCAGTTTCATGAAGATCCAAAGGAGTAGAAAATAAGTGTATTGATTTTTCCTTTTCCTATTTTTCCTTTAAGGTGATTTATGTCATGAGAAATCCCAAAGATGTTATTGTATCCAGTTATTTTTTCTGGAATTCAATAAATGGGGTTAAGAAATCAAAGTCAGTGGAACAACGTCTTGAATGGTTCCTGGAAGGAAAAGGTGAGTGTGCTGCAAAATAAGGACGCTAGGGGGCGCGCGGAGTCCGTTCTCCGAACTCACCTGACACCCACTTTGTATCCGCATCTCACCAGCCCCTATCTACAAGGCTCTGTCATCGCTGGAACCCAAATCTGCAAAGTCCACCTACTATCTTAAGTGGGAGCAGAGCTCTAGCCAGCCCCTCAGCGGTCCCTGATAAACCGTCAACGCTATTTGCTGAGTCTAACGTCTTCAGTACTAACACAGACAACCATATTCTTCTCCAATCTCCTAATATGTGGTTTTCTGAAAGTCAACGTTTTTTTTTCTTTTTTAGACAGAGTCTCACTATGAGGCCCTTGGTAGAGTGCCGTGGCTTCACAGCTCACAGCAAGCTCCACCTCTTGGGCTTAAGCGATTCTCTTGCCTCAGCCTCCCAAGTAGCTGGGACTACAGGCACCCACCACAACGCCCAGCTATTTTTTTGTTGTCGTTGTCATTGTTGTTTAGCAGGTCCAGGCTGGGCTGGAACCTTCCAGCTCCAGTGTATGTGGTCGGCACCCTAACCACTAAGGTACTGGCACCACTCCTGAAAGTCAACTTTCATTGGTTTCCTAGATAACACAATCCTGACCTTCTAAACTACCACTGTTTCCCGAAAATGCCCGTTTTCAAAATTCCCTTAATCCTCTATTTCTGTAAACCTCACAATAGTTTGCATGACTCTGCAATTTCTCTATTTTTAGTTATGCAGAATCCCTGGGCTTTCTCAAGCGCTTGCAATTTGGCAATTTCCCCCAAACTGCCTGCTGAGTCCCCTGTCTCAGCTGCGATCTGTCTCTGGAGCTCGGGCAGCCTGGGGAGAGCCATAGATGCTGTGAATTCAACCTGTGCAAGATTGAGGGCATCTCTCCTCACTCCTCAAACTGCTTCTACTGTACGTTAATCTCACCCAATAAGTAGATCCACCCTCCCCTCACCCAAGGGCTGGCAGGATTCTGACATTTCACATGTGTCTTCCTTTTCGCACCCCACTCACCCCTGCCCCTCACCACTTTCCTTTACCTGATTAGTAATCAGGTTCCACCACCTTGATTAATATGTTCATTCTGGTTTCTCGTAAGATGGTGCTGCATTCCGGAAATCCTACAATTGCTGCATTGTATAAGATAGCCACCTTCCTCATGACTTAAGCCTAAACTTTTCTTTTCCCTAGTAATACTCATCACGGACAGGTATGTGTTTATTTATTTGTTTATTCTGTGTGTCTTCACACTGAAATGTATACTCAAGATGTTCACTGTTCAGCACCACGTCCTAGAATGATTCTTATTACATAGTAAGCATTCAACACACCTTTTAAAGATAATTAGTAAACATTTATTGCTGCTTCTTTTTTTATTGTTTGAGGTTTAATTTGTGGGTATAAAGAATTAGGTTACATTGTTTGCATTTGTTAGGTGAACTACCTCTTATTATTGTGTTCCACCCTAAGAGGTGTGCCAACCACCCTAAAGTTGTGCTCATTACGTGGGAGCACACCCATCCCCCCTGTCCTGCTCATTGGTTCTCCTGCTCCCCCGTTGAACTGATTTGAGTTTTTCTCTTATGTGAACATGTTAGATCATCTGCTAGCTTCATGGTACTATTGAATACATTGTATTCTTGCTCCTCCATTCTTGGGATACTTTAGCAAGAAGAATGTGTTCCACCTCCATCCAGGTAAACATTTAAGATGTAAAGTCTCCATATTTTTATGGCTGAATAGTATACCATGGTATACATATACCAGAGCTTGTTAACCCATTCCTGGGTTGGTGGGCATTTAGCTTGTTTCCACATTTTGGCAATTGTAATTGAGCTGTGGAAAAACAATCTAGTGCAAATGTCCTTATGACAAAATAAATTTTTTCTTCTGAGTAGATGCCTAGTAACGGGATTGCAGAATCAAATGGAAGGTCTAATTTGATTTCTTTCAGGATTCTCCATACTCTCTACTTCCAAAAAGCTAGTATTAGTTTGTAGTCCCATCAACAGGGTAAAAGTGTTTCCCTCTCTCCACATCCATGCCAGCATCTGCAGTTTTGAGAGTTTGTGATGTGGGCTATTCCCTCTGGGGTTAGGTGATATCTCAGGGTGGTTTTGGTTTATAGTTCTCTGATGATTGGAGATGATGAGGATTTTTCAAATGTTTATTAATCATTCGTCTGTCTTCCTCATACATGGTTCTGTTCATATCTTTTGCCTAGTGGTAGATTGGATTTTTTGCTTTTTTTTGTTGATTAATTTGAGTTCTCTGTAGATTCTAGGTATTAACCTTTTGTCAGATTCACAGCATGAAAATATCTTTTCCCATTCTGAAGGTTGTCTTTTGCTTTATTTGTTGTGACTTTAGCTGTGTGGAAAACTTTTGGCTTAAGTAAGACCTATTTGTTTATTTTTGTTGTGATTGCTACTGTAGTCTTAGTCATAAAATCTTTCCTGAGTCCAACATCATCAACAGTTTTTCTCATACTTTCCTCTAGGATTTTATCGTTTCATGTCTTAGATTTAAGTCTTTGTCTATCTGGAGTCACTTTTTGTAAGTGGTGAGAGTTGTGGGTCCAGTTTCAGTCTTTTACATGGTTATGCAGTTGAATAGGGTCCCAAGCACCATTTGTTGAATAGGGTTCTTTTCCCCACTGTATGCTTTTGTTTGGTTTGTCAAAGATCAGATGGCAACTAGAGACTGGTTTCATCTCTTGGTTTTTTACTCTGTTCCATATGTCTACTTATCTATTTTTGTGCCAATACCATGCTATTTTGATTACTGTAGACTTGGAACATAACCTGAAGTCTGGTAGGGTGATGCTTCCAACTTTGTTTTTTTACTAAGAAAATCTTTGGCTATGCGGAGTATTTTCTGGTTTCATACAAAACAAAATACTATTTTTTCCAGTACTTCACTGTTTGATGTTGGTATTTCAATGGGGATTGCATTGAATCTATAGATTACTTTGGATAGAATAGACATTTTGACAATATCGATTCTTCCCAGCGCAGACCATGGTATGTTCTTCCATTTTTAATGTCTTCTGCTATTTCTTTTTTTAGGGTTTCATAATTCTCTTTGTAAAGATCCTTCACTTCTTTTCTTAGGTATGTTCCTAAGTATTTAATTTTCTTAGAAGCTACTGAGAAGGGAATTGTGACCTTGATTTGCTTCTCAACTTGTATGTTATTGGTATATACAAAGGCTACTGATTTGTGAACATTGATTTTATACCCTGAGATGTTACTGTATTTCTTGATCACATCCAGGAGTTTTGCGGTTGAGTCTCCAGAGTTTTCTAAGTATGAGATCATGTCAGTAGCAAAGAGTGAGGGTTTGACCTCCTCTTCTCCCATCTTGATGCCCTTTATAGCCTGCTTTTGCTTGATTGCATTAGGTAGAATTTTCAGAAGTATGTTGAATAGTAGTAGAAATAGTGGACTTCCTTGTGTGGTTCCACTTCTAAGTGGAAAAGCTTTTGTTTTTACCCCATTCAGTATAATATTAGCTGTGGGTTTGTCAAAGATATATTCAATTGGCTTCAGAAATTGTGCCATCTATGCCTATACTCTTAAGTGTTCTTGTTATAAGAGGGTGCTGGATTTTATCAAATGATTTTTGCAGCTATGGAAAGAATCATGTGGACTTTTTGCTTCTATTTATATGGTAAATTACATTTATGGATTTGCATATGTTAAACCAGCCCTGCATCCCTGGGATGAAGCTTAGTTGTTCGTGATGTATAATTTTTTTGTGTGTGTACCTGTAATCTATTAGCTAACATTTTGTTGAGTATTTTGCTTAGATATTTATTAGTGAAATATCACTGGTCTGTAGCTCTCCTTCTTCCTCTTCTTCTTCTTCTTCTTCTTTTTTTTTTTTTTGCAGAGACAGAGTTTCACTTTACTGCCCTTGGTGGAGTACCATGGCGGCACAGCTCACAGCAACCTTCAATTCCTGGGCTTAGGCAATTCTCTTGCTTCAGCCTCCTGAGCAGCTAGGACTATACATGCCTGCCACAACACCTGGCTACTTTTTTGTTGCAGTTTGGCTGGGGCTGGGTTTGAACCTGCCACCCTCGATAGATGGAGCTGGCACTCTACCCATTAGGCCACAGGCACCGCCCCAATGTAGCTCTCCTTCTTAGTTGGATCCTATTATGGTTTTGGAATCAGGATATTTGCCTCATAGAACGTGTTGGGGAAGGTTCCTGCCTTCTCAAGGTTTTGGAAGAGTTTCTGCAGTATAGGTATAAGTTTATGCTGAAGACATGATAGAATTCTGGTGTGAAGCCAACTGGTTGAGGGCTTTTTTCTGTTGGAAGCTTTTTTATTGTTTCTTCAATCTCAGTGCTTGATATTGATGTGTTAAGAGATCTATTTCTTCCTAGTTAAGCCTATGAAGATGGTATGATTTTTGGTATTGGTCCATTTCCTCTACATTGTTGAATTTCTGGACATAGAGTTTTTTGTAGTAGTCAGAGATAATCTCTTGTATCTCTATGGTATCAGTTGTTATTTTCCCCTTTTTGTTTCTGATTGAGGATATTAAGGATTTTACTGTTCTGTTTCTAGTTAATCTGGCCAATGATTTATTGATTTTATTTATTTATTTATTTATTTTTTGCAGTTTCTGGCCAGGGCTGGGTTTGAACCTGCCACCTCCAGCATATGGGGCCAGCACCCTACTCCTTTGAGCCACAGGCACCACCCTGATTTTATTTATCTTTTTGAAGAACAAACTTTTTGTTTCATGACTTTTCTGAATGATTCTTTTGTTTTCAATTTCACTTATTTCTGGTTTAATTTTGGTTATTTCTTTTCTTCTGCTAGGTTTGGGATTGGATTGCTCTTCCCTTTCCATTTCTTTAAGATGATTCATTAGTTTGTTGATGTCCTCTCTTTCTGCTTTTCAGATATAGTTCCTTTTAATTTTATAATTATTTATTTAAAATTCATTTAATTATCAGCTAATTCACATATCTATTCTT